AAGCCTCTCAAGTACTGTTTTCATATGTAACACAGGAATATATGATATTACAACACTTTGAAAAATTTCTAAAAGCACGTTCTCTTTCCAGAATAAGTTATTGCCTTTTGGTAACGAAATTTGTGTTAGAAGTTCAAATTTGGAGCAAGTCTTTCAGAATTTGGTTTAGCTACAGGAGCTAAAAAACTTTTAATAATTTATTCTATGGCTCCATGTCTTTGAACCTGGGTTTATCTAGATTGACCTTTAATAGTCATTATGATCTTTTAAGTTTCTCTAATTTGAGAAAAAAAATGGTTGATAATTTTTAGGAGCAATTAATTCCATCATTTGGGTTAGCTACAAGAGCTAAAACATTTCACAATTGTTAGCTTGTTGCTCCATGTTTTTATGTTTAATTAGCCAATTTCTAAATAATCCTACAAAAATTCATCACTTTAACTTTTCCGTACTGTCCTGTGTTTCAACGAAAGCAGTAGAAGAAGCATTCTCTTCAGATAACATAAGCTCTAAGAAATACTAGTGTTAGGTGGCACTGTGTTACATCAACTTAACTAGAGGATAGTTTGAAATGAAATACTTCATGAAAATTTTGTAACAAAAATTTGTCACAGATGCGTTAACGAAACTGGTAACAAGGAAATTTCTGAATAAATCGTAGACATTTCGAACTTTCAGTTTGAAGATCTCCTCATAAACAGGGATCAAACTTGATGAAATTATGTATATATGAAAACTAACAAACGACTTGAATGAAAGTAAGGAGGAATTTATCCTTGATCAATAGGTGAAAAAATGTCTTGATGTTAAAAGCATTTTAACTATTTTTCAATATTACTACAAATAAATTAAAACCTCATTTTAGAATTTGATGGACTCGTATATGCATTTTTAAAATCCTATGATGCTAAATAAATTCTAAATTTTTCGCCTTTTTCCTCAGCCTTAGCAGCAAAAAGGTTTTTGATTTCTCTGAATTCCCAGAAGCAAAGTTAGCTCTTTGTCTTAATCACTGATTAATTTTTCCTCCAACCGTGAATATCGCAAGACTTTGATCAAAATTTTGACTGTCTCGAATCCAAAAAAATTTTAAGTCCCTCCTCTGTTAAAAGGAAAAATATCCTCATTGTATATCCAAAACCTAAAATTCTATGAAAAATTTCCTTACATTGATGATTGATTGATTTACTATCGCAAAGATCTGAATTCTGTTCTTCAAATTCTTGGATAAATCCAAATTTAATTTCAAGCACTAGCACCAAATTCAACTAAAAACAGCACAAATTCAAAATTTATTCTAAGAATTCTCAATCGAATATTCTCTGTAAGTAGGTAAACCTTCAGCTTTTTAGATGTAAAAATTCTAGGAATTTGCTTGCCTATTCTACCCGAGGAATCTTACTCTTTTCTTTTGGTTTATTATAGTCTTTGTTTTTTAGACAATAATAGCAAATTAATCTTAAGAAATGGCTTGTAATGATTCTATTTCAACGACATAAACTACATGAAAAAAGCCATATTTAAGCTACGCTGCAAAAATCTAGGGCGAATGAAACGGTTTAACAAGAAAATCCTAATCAAATTTTGCAAAACAGCACTAGCATTTTTTTTTTAAAATGGACCAAGCCTTCGACTCTGTCTTAATTTTCGATTTTCAGATTGTATCACAGTGCCACCCTAAAGATATCTCCTCCCAAGTAATAGATGTGGTGTTGCGACAACATGTGTGCATACTAAGACGACAAGCGATCAGGACAGAAGTATCGCCCCGGTTTTTACACTGCTCTTACAAAAGTTTTTCTCGTCTACAGTCAATTTCATTTTTTCCGAATTTGACTTGATCTACTCAAATATCCGACGTATATAACTCGATCGTTCAGCGTCTAAAGTCCCTCTTACAAGTCGTCTGTAATGTTTGTGGGCTATTCCCAAAAATGCTGGCAGATGTTAAATATTTTCATAGCTTCTTACCAATAATTCAGTGTCCTTTATTCTTTTCTTTTTGGTTGAAACTCGATAAAAACAAACAATCGGAATGAATAAGGCCAAATTAATAAAGATCCGTTGGAATTTAGGTTCTTTTACAGCCAGCATTTTTATTAAGATTTTAAAAGAGATGGAAGTGCTTATCTTTGGCGACCAGTTTTTTCATTCTTCGCTGATTCCGGTTTCCTGTATTGACTATTTCATCTTTTCCATCCTTTCCCTTCACAGAGGTAACTTTCCTATAAATAGAAGAAAAATATCAAAAGATCAGTAATTGAATAGACTCCAAAGCTAAACAAAGGGTGAAATTATGATTACATTTTGTGTAACAAGACTCTAACAAGTGTTCTTCCTTTAATTTGGTTTTACGCAACGTAACAAAGACTGGACTCTAACGAAAATTGTCTAAACAGCCAAAGTTTATAATTCTACTCTTGGCAGTGTAGCAATTGCTTTTGCAAGATTCAAAACAATAAGTGACGTCGACGTTGTTCAGGAACGTAAAAGAGTTGTAGTGTAATACACTTTATGGAATTTAACTAGGAAAGCTGGTACCACGTGTTCGGTTTTGCTGTTTGTACTGAGTTCAGAGCATTTCGCTTTCAGTTTTTTGGACATTCATAAAGATTATTTTTCCTAACAAATGCATTCTCCAGACTAAGCTATTAAACAATTTTTTTCCCGAAATAAACCGGCCAAAACTTTGAATGAACTCGCATTAGCTTTTAACTGTCGAAATTCGTTGCCTTACTCCCATTTACTGAATAAAACCTTATAGCGCTCTCGGCAAAATAAAGGTCATATTTATCTGAAACGATGCTTACCTTCAGTATTAGCTCATGACTTCAAGTTTTAGTCCATAAATCCACCTTCTTGTCAAGGAGTACCATCTTCCATCTTCTTGTCGAGGATGGAACATACGTCTCCTCGCATCAACGACTAACGTGGTTTGCTGTGATTCTTGAATTTGCATGCATGTGGTTCAACAGTAACAGCCAATCACTAAGAAATACGTCACACAATTTATTCCCACGCTTTTAGAGGTAGCGAATCACAAGTCCAAGGAAAAAATGGTATTAGGTGTGTCAGATTGCTTTTTCAATACAAGTGTGTGTGAGATTTATTGGAAACAAATGGCCGTCTAAATCTGAATGTCTTCAAAAAACTAAAACAGAAAATAATGTAGAGAAAAAAAAGAAGTCCTAAACTTCGGGCGGTTAAAATGTGATTTTTGTTGTTACAGGGAAAAAAAAACAATGAAACAAACAATAAAGATAAGAAAAAAGAGGTAGCGACTTGTCCACCTTCTTTGGTCTTGGCGCTCACTGTGCCATATTCATCCAATCAAGCTATGAGAACAAATGTCGATTCTTACGCCTGATTTTAGGTGGGTATTTTGACACTGGTTTCACGTGCACCTTTGGCGTGCATTTGGAGATAACAGGCTATTTCATATTTTAATCGAATTGTCTGATTAAAAGTTAGTCAGTTTAATTTGACAATGAAATTTCAAGATAAAAAATGTTTTGTGAGATTTTTTGTTAAACTGAGACTGGCTCCCTTTTATGTGTCTGTAAAAAATAGTGAATCAACCCAGTTTGAAATGGCAAGAATTTGTATTTGTAAGATAAATACGCACATTTTAGTGTCATGTATAAAGTCGGTAAAAAAATAGGTGATGGAAATCAAATGCCTGTATCGTAATTCAATTTCTTTAGATAATTGGCATGGTCGTAATACGAATGTTGATAAATACATAACCTAAAAATGGAAAGACTAGTTCTTGCTATCAACCGACTTTTCATCAAAGGATACGAATTAAACAAGCAATTTCAGCACCCGTAATTTTAGGGGGATGAAAAAAAAAATAGGACCAAACTGGCATCGAAATGCTGTACCATCTGAGCCGTGGAGACTTACGAACAGAGTGTGGGTATTTTAACAGTGCCATTAAACTAGAAAGAATTTCCTCCTAGGCGTAATTTATTTTTCTTACGAATAATTGACGCTGTCACAGTGTTCTAGGTATCTCCGAGTTTTGGGTATCCTTGTAACCAAAACACTAGTGTTTTGTTATCCCCTCTGTGGACACCCAAAATGCTAAAAATGAATTAAATGGGAGACTGGGGCAAAACGCTAAAAGTCAATTAAATGGGAGACTGGGGCAAGTAACAGGAAGCTGGGGCAACGCCCAAAGTGAATTAGATGGGAGACTGGGGCAAACAATAAGGGAATCCTCCGAGGGGATACCCAAAACACTGTGACAACACTTTGGTCTGATCATCTGTCTGTTTGACAAAACCGCGTCCTAAACAATCCTCAATTTAACTGAACCGTAAATCTGAACATTTATTTTTGTGAACGGCGTCAAGAGGGCCAACAGCAAACAGTGGATGGACGTTTATTAAATCAACCCTCTCATAGAAATAGCCCGAGGCTCGCTGATTGCGTAAAACCTTGGTTTGAGTTAGACCTCGAGTAATAGGACCGAGTAGAGTCCAATTCGGTCTGTAATCATTCAAGTGATAACAAAATCGGACGACAGCGCAGCGGAAGCCCGTATCGTTTATCACGAGTTGAACGACACGAAGTCTGATTTCAAATTACTCATAAAAATTACATTTCGAAGAAAAGAGGTATAGCCGAGTTAAGAAAGAAGGGGAAAATTTGCAGGAAGACTTACAAAGTTTTTGTCCGATAACTATCAGCTACAACTTTGAATGTGATTGGCTGATTGAACTTTCCGATAACAAATTCTCCGACAACAAACTCCCCGATAACAATTTGACAGGTAAATTAGTGGAAAATAGGAGTTTTTTTTAAAACCACACACAATCAATTGTTATGATTAAGTTTGGAATAGTGCTGTTTAACATCGTTGTCTAAGTATGTAGGGATAATACGTTTATTACACTCACTTCCATGGATGAAATCTTCTTTCGGAACATGATCTGGTACTAGCGGACAGATCAATCGAGAAAGCGTTGCTAAAAATAATCAGACTTCCAACATGGTTTGATGCTACTCTGGTTTAAAGATTTAATGAATGTAACCAAAGAAGTTACAATTCGTAGACCCAAAGTTTCGACACTCCCGTCTAGTGCCTTCATAAAAGGTGATCTAAACGTTGCAACAAGAGGTCCTTTTATACGATCACTAATTAGCTGCCTTTTTTCTGACGAGGTGAAAATAGGCGTCTGGAAGTAAGCCGCCATCATCACAATTTAAAGATTTATTTTTGGAACTGAAGTGCAAAAATGGCATGATAACCTTTTGGTAAAAATCCTTAGTCGAGTGACAACAAGAACGACGTTTTAGAAGACAGATATTCACAGACATGTCATGAGTAAAAAAAAAAAAAAAAAAAATTTTCACACGTACTCCGGCGAACTCTCGACCTTGGCGATACTCTCGGTATGTTGCACACATTTGACTACGAGAAGTTGCATTGGTCTACATGACCACCCTCAAGAAAATCATGGTGAAAGTGTTCCAGAACACTTCCAAGGATCTCAGTGTGTAACAGACTGAACATTAGAAGCTCGAAAACGAGAAAACAAAGGTACGAGTCCCAAAGAGGAAGCTTTGACAACTGATGACACTCTTTCTTTCCAAGTGCACTAAGCGCAGTACTTCCTTTCTGGCGAAGTCGGTCCCACGATTCGTAAAAAAAAAAAAAAGATGAAAAAAAGAACATCAACGTTAGCGCACCGCGCGGAACTCTGGTAGTGAGCCGCATGAAAAGTAGCCTCCTCACAGAGTACCGCGCTGCGCGCTCGCATCATTTTTTCCCTTAATTTCATGTTTTGACTTGCGCAACGGACTTCGCCGAAAAGGAGGGACTGCTCGTAGTCTAAGCTCCTTGAAACAAGCGAGACAAGCTAACCTCCAAAAACTAATAGAGCACACCATTTTTGTCAGAATTAAATAGTTCTAATTCTCCATCCAAAATGTTACGCGTTTCACAGCATCAAAAAAAAAACCCTAAGTTTCACTGCTCGTCAGAATTACACGACACACAAGAAAATAGAAAGTTTAAATGAGGTTCTTAACTCTCAAAGTTCTAAACATAAAGAAAATCTAGCAATAGTAAAGTTGCTCATTTTGCAGTCTTTTCAGTCAAAAAACTCGTGCGCATGTACAGTCTTTTTATGAACACGAAGAGAACTGGGTTGAGTAAAGGTCTTGTTACACAAATCACACACGAAAGGTCTCTCTCCTGTGTGTGTTCTGATGTGCGACTTCAATGCACCGCGGTCAGCAAAAGCCGAGGGGCATGCCGGACATGGGTACGGTTTCTCACCGGTGTGACATCTCACGTGACGCTTCAAACCGCTTGAGTGCGTGAACTTTTTGAAGCAGTGACTGCAGGAGTAAGGCCGCTGACCGGTGTGTATGCGGACGTGAACGTGAAGGCTGCTGTAGGAGCTAAAGTTTTTGTGACAGTGTTTACAAAGATATTTCTTTCTTTTAGTCTTTGGGGCAGACTCTTCAGATGTGTCTGGGGGCGTTCCTTTCTTCACCTCTGTCGCAGTGTCATTTTCTCTTACGTAATTATCATCTGTTTTTTGCGGAGAATTGTTCTCTTCTAGTATTCCATTGATCTTTGGAACACTATCGAGTTCAAGCGATCGATCTGTACTCGGAAATCCTCCAACTTCTGAGGACTCGTTCGACCTTGTTTCGCTGCGCATTTCTGATTTAGTGTCGGATTGTTTCGGTGAGCTTTGCTCTCTTGATCCAACTCTACCACTTTGTTTAAAACTACACAAAATTCTCGCTGTATCATGCTCTTCTAACTCTCTGTGAGGTGAAACAATCGGTTGATCGACAGGTTCGGTCTCCATCTTTGTTTCTATCTCGTTCAACGGAGATTTCGTCGTATCTCCTTTTTCGCTTGTCTCCATTTTCTCGGGTTTTTCATCGTTCAACTCCTCGTCACTTGCCCATCCATTCTGGTCTTTGTGCGTCTTCATGTGAGAGCGCAGATATCTCGTCTGAATGAATCCTTTGCCACATACTCCACACTTGTGCGGTCGGTCCTCAGTGTGCGTCATCTTGTGGTAGTAATATGAGCTGTAATAAGGAAAACACCGACCACACAGCTCGCATTTGTGAGGCTTAAAACCTGTATGGCTCCGAGTGTGGATTTCTAGTTTTCGGTGATGATCAAACGTTTTACTGCACAATGAGCAGCAGTAGCGACCTTCTTTGTCAACCACGGCGTGCGAGGAGATATGATGCTCGAGTTTCTTGCCATTACTAAACGACTGGCCGCACACGAAGCAGAAATTTGTACCATCGTGTTCCTCACTTCTCTCACCATTGGGCTTATCATTGGATAAGCTGCCTTGATGTTTCAGGTCGTTGCTTAGCTTGTCTTGCTGAAGGGAGGTTTCACGAGGTAACTTCTTCGTTAATTCTTCCGGGAGGGAATGGCGAAATTCCCCTCGGATATCCCTTCCGTTGGGGTCAACCAGTCGGGTTGTTTCCTCGGTTGAAGCAGTGTCTTGCACAGCTAAAGTTACATTCAGCTCACGCCGAATTACCGTCTCACCCTCGTGGGAGGTAAGCGGCACGCTGTTACGGGCGGTTAACTTAAGACGTTTTCTCTGTATCGCCAGCAGCTCGTCTCCTCCTTCGTGAGACATCAAGTGTTCCAGGAACTCTGAGCGACTGGAGAAATTCTTTTCACAGCGGAGACACTGGAGCTCCTGGGATGAACCATGATAGCAGTCTAGATGAATCTTGAGCAGTTTCTTGTGGCCGAAGTAAATGCCACAGTGGTGGCACGAGAAGTCACGTGGATGTCTTCGCCTTGGTCGATACGCTTCATTAAGCTGGCGGGAGCGCCCTGGGGAAGTGACGGGATGATCTGCATTTTCAGCTCTTGGAGGACTTTTCTTTGCAAGATTTGAAATTTTTGGTGTCTCTGACATCAACTGCTGGTGCTCCTGTGGTGTCAGTTGAGTTCCGAGTTCAGGCGCACTGGCCCTTCTTTTGAGAGACAGGGAATGAAGCAGCGCCTCTTTGGTAATGTTGTTGATGCTCTCGCGAGTTGGAAGCTCGCGATGGTCTTGAGCGCCGTCTTGTAATGGGCCTAGAGGAGCTGTTCTTTCTTCCAGTTTGACTTTAGGCGTCAAGGCAGGGAAAGGTGTCCGGTGATATCCGAAGGCTGAATTAGCAGACACTGTACGTGTAACAGGCTGATGAGCTCTCCTGAATTTCACACCTGGATGCTGGAGGGCTGAATTAAGTGACGCTGTACGAGTGACGGGCGGATGACCCCGCCTTGCGCTTACGTCTGATTGTAGAAGGGCTGAATTAGCTGATGCTGTACGAGAAAGGGGCGGGTGAACTCTTCTCAAACTTACTTCTGATGGTAGGAGGGCTGTATTATTTGACGCTGTACGTGAAAGGGGCGGGTGAAGTCTTCTTAAACTCATTTCTGGCGGTAGAAGGGCTGAATTAGCTGATGCTGTACGGGAAAGGGGTTGGTGAACCTTTCTATATCCCGATTCTGACTGCTGAGAGAAATTTGACGTGAATTTCGGATACACCACAGGGATAAGTGGTGGGGGAGCCCCAATCGGCAGGCCTTCTCTCTTTCCCCTACTTAGCCCCAGGAATATATTTTTGGTGAGGTCGTAAGCTCTGTTGGTCCTTTCAAACGTGGAGAATGCGGAAAACCGATTGTTTAGAGCGTCTGTTTTGGGCATCCTGTCCACTGCATCGTGGTTTAGTTTTGCAGCTGACGAGAAGGCTTGTAATTCTTCTGGAACACGTCGTTGATCACGTAAATTTTCATCTCGTTTCATTGTCTCGCGGGATTTCGGAAGGAAGATCCTTGTTTTCGCCTCTGGACCCACTAAGAAAGGCTTCTCGTCTTCATACGAATCTGTCGAGGAACTAGTTTCCTTTTTGTGATGGCGAAACGGGCCTAAAGTTGTGGGAAACCGTTGCTCAGCGTACAAACGCAAATCATCCACACCACTTTTCATCGAGTCATCGTAAGAGGAAACATCTCCTTGCTGTTTTGTCTGACATTTGTCCTTCGAAACTTCACTATTACGCCCACAGTCAGATTCTGAATGATTTTCTTTCTTCGAGCAGTCTTCATTGGCAGTTTCTTCAGTAGTCACGCCACTCGGAATTCGTCGGAGACTATTCGGTTTCCTTCGTCTGTCTTTGGAATTTTCGAGTGAGGTTTCGTGTGATGTTACATGGCTGACGAATTCCGGGCGGTTGTCGAACGATTTTCCACAGTAGTAGCATTGTAGCAAGTCTAACGAACTGTGGTAGGAGTTCATGTGAATCTTTAACAAATTCTTATGTTCAAAGTACAGTCCACACTCGTTGCAGTGAGGTTTCTTATGACAAGTGTTCAAATGAGTTCTAAGCTCTCGCGAGTCGGGGAATGTCTCGCTACACATCGTACAGGGAACGCTCACATCACGAGCATGATCTTCCTGATGAGACGGACTTGTTCGATTAGCTTCGGAGACAGCCTTATCGTCCGTCAAATCTTCATCTTGTCGGAGACTGACGAATTCCTTATCATCTTGGACATTGTCTCTTTTCCTCGCCTCCATTTTAATAAGCAAGCTGGATTTTAGCTTATCAACCACATGATTTTCTGTACTCGTTTTGTCGCTGTCTCCTTTTTGATGGGAGATCAAATGATGCAAGTACTCCATTTTTGTGGAAAATTCCTCTTGGCACCGATTACAACGTAGCGTCGGGCGCTTTGTTGAGTCAGCTCTTTGAATACTTGACTCAGAGTCACCGCTCTCATCCCCAGACAGCGTGGACGAATAAGACCCAGCGGGTGATTCCGGGCTTCCTTCGGGACTATCATCCAAATCGGGCGAGCCGGTACAGGGGGCATCTTCAAGATCTTCTACTTTTCGCTTTAAATTTTCTCGTGGAAATGTAAAAGGTAGTGGAATGCCAGAGAAGCTCCTGGTTGTAACGATGACCGACGACCGCCGCGGTTGATAGGGCGTCTGATGATAATCAACGGCTGAAGTACACAATCCATTCACCATGTCTTTCACGGGTGGTGAAGCTGTTTGCTTTTCGGGAGAAGATGGTGGTGTTTTCTGTTGAAGCTCAGGTTGTAATTTTTGTTGTGAAACTGAGGTTTTAGTTTTTCTTTCCTCGCTTTCCATTGCCTTTTCAGTGTCGCTGTCTCGTGTATCACCCTCTGTATTACCGTCTTCCTTTATATCACTTGTACCGCGTGACGTTGCTTCACCATCGCTCTCCAGGCTCTGGTCCTCATCCTCCCATTCATTAGCGAAGAAGCCATTATTCTGATCGTGTTCAGTCTTTACAACGGTGTGTTCAGCCTCCACTGCAGTATTTTTCAATTCCATATCCTCATCCTCAGTTTTCATTTCTTCACCAATCTGTTGATGAGGTGAACTCACAGCCAACTTTGTTCCTTTGCTCTCGACCTTGTGGTAATGCTCCATATGTAAGCGCAATAGTTTGTCGTGGTCGAATTTCAGACCGCAAGCCACACAAACCGGTTCAGAGTGGTGCGCTCTAATGTGAAGTTTCAAAACATTGGGGTGCTCAAATATGTCTTTGCACCTCGGACAGCGCACCTTTACATTGTGATGAACTCGCATGTGAATGTGGAGGAGGTTCGCGTGCTCGAATTCCTCGTGGCACGTGCCGCATTTGAGAACGTGGCGAGTGGCGTTTTCATGCTGCTTGACTTCGTGAATCTTAAGGGCGCGTGACGAGGCGAAGCTCTTACTGCAGTGAGCGCACATCCACATACTAAAGAAAGAAAACAACAGGCAAATGTAAGCGCAAAAGAAAGGTGTTCTATCATCTGCTAGTTGCTTGGATATTACTCCTCCCTCTCCTTCCTTTGGATTCCTTTTTCCCTTCCCTTTTTCACAACCCGCCTCATCCAGTAGGTTTACTTTAAGCGGATTAACAATGTAACAAAAATGTAGCAATCTGAGAAGCCATTAAACTAGTCTACGACGGTAAATTGCTGTACATAGTGAGTAGGAAGAGTACACAAGTCATTCATAATCTATTTTTTTTTGTAAAGAACACAACAATAAATGTGAATGCTGAGCAGTATAACATGAATTAATTATGGAATCTTTAAGTCTGAGGTTAGGGCAAGGCAACTAACGCCAAATTAATTCCTCATTGAATAGAGCTTGGTGCAAAGATTGTTTCATCACCAAATTTATCAGCCCAACATTTCAGCTATTAACTCAGCATAAAGGGAAAAAATAATATCAAATGGCAAAAATATAATTCAAGTTCACAACTGGCAGTGTTACTTTACCGAAAAATGATCAACTTTACTTTCAACAGTAATCCAAGTCAGCTGAGTAATTGTTTCATGATCAATAAAATTGCAACAGCAAATTCCTTATATTTTACATTTAGTGATTTAGTGCTTAAAACAAGAGAGGACACTGACTTCAGGAACACCGCACTGATCAGTTTGGATAAAAATGTTCCTTGATCACATAATCTATCACCTCATTTGCATTGAATGGTGGTTGAACAAAGCAGAGTTAACCAAAATGTTCCTTGGTTTGACTATCACACAATGTAAAACCATCAGTGAAAACATGGGAAATCACCTGAACAGCCATTTCAGAGGAAGACTTTTACTACAACCACTCTGCAACTTACCGACAACATTCTGTAAAGTTATGCATCTTCATGTCACTCATGTTTTCCTTCTGAGCCTTTTTTCCAAATGATTCAATATTGCTGGCCATGGTTAAATGTTTCATACTTGCTTGTTCTATATCATTGCAGGCCATTAAGTAATAAGCAGATCGTTGTCCTTTGACAGAGGTGTTCTTCAGTGTTAAGTATTAATTCTTTTGAAATCAAATTACTGACAGAAGTTCCTTTGTTGAAATCACTGTCCAACGACACATCAATCTTGCATCCCCCTGATTGTTAAACAGTAAGCGCTGTACAGGGCCTTGACCTGCAATATCAAAAGAAACATTAATATAGGCATAACAGATGAATCTTATTCACACTGGCAATTAAAAGCAAAAAACTTTCCCTAAAAGTTTGAAAACTTAGAGGAATTCTGAGTTTCTGGCATTTTACATTACGTTTGAAAATAACAAGACAATTTTAAACCTACCACAATCATGAAAAATCTTAAGTTAGAATAAGGTGTGAATCAAAACGATTTCGTAAAAATAGAATTGATTGAGTACAGATACAATATAGTTCTTTCATAAAACATCACGTCACATGTATTATCACATGAAAAACCTAATAATGCTCATATGATAGTCATCAAAGCTGCAAAATTTCGAAAGCATTTTGAGCTAATAATGCAGAGTATCAATTTTACTTGAAAACCTGGCTAATCTATACAGCATGCACATATAAAATTGACTGTTGAAAGATTATATTCAAAAATAGAAATAGCCACAGGTTATCAATATCACTCAGCAGCTGTGAATATTTTTTATTTTCGTTTCGTGTATGCTCATCAGATCACATATTAATTAGTTGTCACAAGTGGGCCATAAAATATACTATTAGCAGTTTGAAATGAAAAGTATCTAAACACATTATAACAAAACAAAAGCATAGCCCAGAAAACTAGAGGAATATTCTAAGTGAACTAAATTTTGCACCAGGTTTTCAATGGGAGTCTTTGCCGACATTTTAATCCAGTCTGCATTTAAGTATGCCCTCTAGCGTACACGTGTATTTACAACTAAATATTCATGACATCAATAAATCAGACAATATTGAAGACCCAGGATTACAAACAATGCACCTTTATAAATCATGTTTCCAATATAGCTATTAATTATTATAATCATTAGTTTGTATCCTCGTTACCATGTGAACATAAATACATACATATACATGGTCACACTCTTCCACATCAACACAAGTACTGATGTCATAAGCAACTCAATCACCTTCCTTTAACATCTCTCAAACGACAAGTTTTGGGCTTATGACATTATTTTGTGTTAAATGTTCCAGCATTTTTTACATCTTCATCTTCCCACAAATTAATCACACGTTTTGAAGACAGTTACATTGTGAAACAGAGCCAAACAGACATGAGGATTTCATACTCTTACCAATATCTAATAATTCTGTTTTTCTATACAGTGGCTTCGTTTCCATGGCATAAGATTGATTCTGATGGTTACCTCAACTTTCTCCTACAGAAATCTCCCAACAATAGTAATTATAACCATTTCCAATTATTAAATTTTATATAATCCTAATACAAGAGCAATGGATGTTTAATACAACTTCTATATACAGCAGTTGGGTGTTATCGCGTTATATGATATTAAGCAACATCAGTTGAAAATCAAGTGCTTGACCATGAACCAACTTCAATGTAAGCTGTCAATTTCTGCATCAATGGTGTCTAACTTTTGTTCCAGTTCTTAACCTCTTCACTCCTGAGATCTTATTGTTTGTTTTCCCTCTAGCTGCTATATGCTCCTTGTTAATCAGTTGGGAGAATTTGGTGTTAGATCAAGATAAAAACTTGGATCTGATAAGTTTGAGTATTCTCAATGCCTTTTTGCTGGATTATGTGTTCATATTAAAGGGAAATGTTAAACATAAATCACTTTTGGGAGTTATAGGGCTGAGAGGTACATGTGCTCCTTTCCCTAAACAGTGGTCCATCTAGTAAAGGGATGGTAGGAGCAACTTGTACTTGTACTGTATTGATTTAAAATAACAAAAATAAGAAGGATGATCAAAATGCAACAAGTTACACAGCTTAAACTGAATGAATGTGTGGCTGAAAACATTTTAACAGTCCATTTCAGTATGTTAAGAAAATCAGAGTTAAAAGAAATGATTCCATTCATATATTGCGATTTGATGTCATTAACTTAGCTCTGGTAGGTCAATTTGCTCTGTGAATTTCTTATTCCAGCTTGATTAAAGGAAAATGCTCAAGAGACACATCATGTTTAGCCATATAATTTTTCCATATCATTGGCAAGCAGTCTGAATGGCTGATAACACTATTCTATGCAACAAGTATCTCACAATAGCATGTTTCTATAAACAAAGATATAAAGTGATTTAGGTGGATATTTTTTTTTAATATGTACAGTTAATAATGGTAAAAAAAAAAAAAATGAAAATGGATTGCCCACATATATATCTATATCCCTTCCAAATACTATCATTGTATAATATTGTTCAGGAAAAAACATATACCATGTTTACCTCCCTGGAGCAATCATGAGTTTTTCTAGATGGAAATAGAAAATTTCAATTTCAAAGTTGTTTCTTACTAACCTCACATTTTTATGGAAATCTACATTTCACAACAATTTGAAAGAAATTTGAAAGAAATTAAATATGCATTCCTACATCTGTTAAATGTATTGGACAATGACATCCACATTAAGTAACAATTGAATGAGAAATGGTTTCTTCAGTTTGTATTGATGATGGTAATATACCTTTTTTTCATTGAGGACACATGCAATGACATGTATGACTTCCGAAGCTGTAAATTCTTAAAATGCTTTTAACTCACATTTTAGGAAAGAATCATACTTTATAGATCGGTAAAAAGATTAATGGAAAACTAAATGTTATCCCCAAGACATATTTTCATAATAGCTGGAAGCAGTCTAACCGAATGGAGAATTAGCTTATAACAAAATTTAAATATTAAATCATGATGTAAGTATACATTTTAATCATCACTTCAAAACACTTGTCTAAAATTAGTCCATCCACTCAAGAAATGTCTTCGAACCACTTTCAGTAACTGAATCACCATATCTAAAGTTGCCCTAATCCCCGCTTCTAACAGTTATTTGATATTTTCTCTACGAAAGTCGTTCAATATTGAATCAGTCAAAAATATATATTCTTCACATGGTAAACAAGCCTGAGGGTTGAAAATTAGCGGCCTTTTGTCAAAAACTGGCTGACTCCGAATTCTTTTGGGGAGCGACTGCTAACATTTGCCGAACAGAACAGTCGAATGGATCTTCACAAGCAAAGCGAATATTACTGACAACAAGTCAAGAACTCTTCTGCGGTATCTAATATGATTTTTACCACCAAAGGCTGACAAAATCACTTAAGCATGCACTTGGCTTACGAGAAAGCACAGTCATGGAAGATCGAATTTAATACTGTAAATCCGTAGGCTTTACACGTACTGTAATACCTTAGACAGTAACACGAGTCTTGTGATTAGATTTCAATTAGAAGAATTATAAACGCCAGTGGAACACTTTCTATTTATTCAAATGAGCGTCAGCTATTACGTACAAGCTGCAATAACTCTCGTGCCGTCTCGGAATATCAAAGGTCGCAGATCTAGATCTGGCACTTCAGTTTTAATATTCTCAGCTGTTTGTTAAAGGCCTCGATGGATTTTGTAAAGTTATCGTCACGCTAACGAACAAGGTTTTCATTTATTCCAGTCAAATAAGAAGCCTATAGAGCCGTCCTCCTTTCTTTTCAAGAATAGACCTTGCGTCAACCAGTAAAACGACGAGGACTTTTCTCGGACAACACAGCCGCTCGAGGATGCGCCTTTAATTTCCTCTGCAGGTTAGAAAGAATTACTCGGTCCTTCAAACGGAGCTCGGTAACACTCTGAAGGAAAGCCACTGCCTTTCTTCTCTAAGCCAAAATAATTGCGACAATGTGGAGTAAAAAAAATTTACCGGAGGTCACAGATTCAATTCATCGAGGGAAATGACATCACCTACAACATCGATCCTTCACTATTACACATATAAAATGGCGCGTTGAACTCGACAACGAGATCAGTTAAACTTACCAAGCAATCCTTCCCTTTAGACCATGACCTCTATAGATAGTAAACACTTTCAAGGCGGCTAGTAATTCGTATGTTGATTAAAACTGACGGAGCGAAAGAAAACCGTTCGCCAGTGTCCAAACCTATTGAATTTCGAAAACTGTGACTTCATCAAATGTAAATGAGGCTGTGATGACGTGTTTCATGTGGAATCTAGGCGTCAAAATTATTTTGGTGGTTTCAATTTACTACGATCGTGACGGAAGTGGACAGCGTAATGATTAAGTAGTTACAGAAAGCTCTCTTTAACCACACAGGGTGCTAGACATGTACCACTTCAATCAGAAATATCCTGAATAACATCTGACAGCAAAAAGATCAGCTTTCTTTGCCTTCTATTCATCAACCGTAACGAAATTTTCCAGATCAATCTAGACATCGAAATCGTGCACCGAATTAATGTTCTACATTTAAATCATTATGCAGTGTGAAAAAAAGAAGAGAAAAATTGACTAACCTATGACAACGTATGGCACAAAAGGCTTCTAAAAAAACACTTCCTCTTTAATGTAATGACGTGAAGCTGCGATTTCTATAAAATTCGTCTTGAAGAAATGCATTTAAATCTTTTACCCCGACGTTCACTTCAGGATTGCTTCGCAGATAGAGATAAGAAAACTTTGCACTTTCGCGATAAGAATTTCGTCCAAACCCAGGTCAAATTCACTTAAAATAGGGGGAAACGCTTCCGATAGTTCTTCGTCGCGACACTTTTGCTCATCTGCCTGGAAGCAAAAATAATGCTCGTAGAAGTTTCGCGAAAACCGGAAGTTGTCATTTTCATTAGCTGTTGACATTTTTATGAATATTAAAACGATGCCGAAGTTAGAAGTATGATGCGATAAAATTAAGTAAAGAACAAAAACCTAGCTTTTAGTTTCGATTAGGAAACGGATCTCATCCGGATGGTTTCAATATCAGAAGTAAAATATTTGTCAGTGTCTTCGGGAAATCAGATTTCACGGGCTGGTAAGTTGAGTAGGCGTAAATACCGCAACTGATTTCCTTTGAGCCTGATTATGGACATTTATCGTGACCTGAGATCTCTGAACACCCCCACAATAATGACATTAGAGCTGAATGAAGATGAATTTAATCGTTTTCCAGGGGGAAATTGTATTT